AGCATCTTTATTTCCTCTTACCCTTTCCCACTTACAGAGAAATGCTGGAAGACACAAATTGTTGGATTATGTGCTTATTTATCTCTAAGAAATAAGGATGAAGAAGATAAACGGGATGAATAAGATGAGGGGAAAATAAGGGAATGGAGAGAGAGGTCATTTACCACGACTTGTACTTTTTCATAATCAATCTTAAAAGCATAAAGTTTAAACATACAAACACTCTTGGTAAATGCCAAGGTCACGGACGCACGTTAAACGGAAGATGACCAACTAAAACTTGATTTTCAATAACGAGTTACAAATTTCTTCTGCAAAAATGCAGACGAATTGCCAAACTGAGTTATAAGGCACAGGGCCCCTGTCCCTCACAGGCAGCGTGGTCCCCATAGAATCCAGGCCCATAACCAAGTGCCCCTGCCAGGACATGCAGGGTCCACGAGAGGAGAGTCAGAAGACCAGAAGGAAAAAGTGTCTCCCTGGGCTTCCCTGGTGGCGCAGTGGTTGAGAGTCCGCCTGCCGATGCAGGGGCCACGGGTTCGTGCCCCGGTCCGGGAAGATCCCACATGCCGCGGAGCGGCTGGGCCCGTGAGCCATGGCCGCTGAGCCTGCGCGTCCGGAGCCTGTGCTCCGTAACGGGAGGGGCCACAACACTGAGAGGCCCGCGTACCGGAAAAAAAAAAAAGTGTCTCCCTCCCCGATGGAGTCCTGCTAAAGAAAAGAGTTTTTTCTTTGTTCTCACCAACCTAACAAAAACCCAGAATGTACTTGAGAAAAAGTGATGCTGCAGAAAGAACCATGGGAGCAGCGCGGTGGTGAAGTGATGGCCAGGACGGGCCTCAGATCCAGCTCTGGAGCTGACACTTAAGAAAAAAAAAAAAAAAAAATTTATTTACTTATTTGGTTGCGCTGGGTCTTAGTTATGGCAGGTGGGCTTATTTGGTTGCGCTGGGTCTTAGTTGTGGCTCATGGGCTCCTTAGTTGCAGCACATGGGCTCCTTAGTTGTGGCATGCAAACTCTTAGTTGCGGCATGCATGTGGGATCTAGTTCCCTGACCAGGGATCGAACCCGGGCCCCCTGCAGAGCCTTAACCACTGTGCCACCAGGGAAGTCCCAGGAGCTGACACTTTCTAATCGAAGGCTTCCGAGGCCATGTCACCTGTGTCAGCTCCCCACTGACAGCACAAGAGTCAAACGCCCACTTCCTAGGTGGGCTGTGGTGATCAAGGGGCTCACGGAAAGAGGGACAATGCCAGGCAAAGGGCAGGTGCTCAAGGAGGGCTGAGTCTTGGGTTCAGTTCCAGGTGTCCTATTAACTAACTGTGTGACCTCAGACAAGTCACTTCATCTCTTTCAAGAAACATCTGGGCAGTCTTCAGTGGTCGTCATCTGGAAGGAGGGCTTGGGATCCCACTGTCGCCTCTAACAGGAATTCACCTGCTCTTGCAAATTTCCTTTCATTCTTATTTCCACAGTGTCCTTACGATTCAGATGGTATTTCTTTTGCTATTAGAGGGGACCTCAGTACGTTGTTTTACACATCTAGAAGCCGTAGCATCAAAGACAATGATCTCTTTCC